TAAATAATTATAAGTAAAACATATTAAATAATTACAAATCAAACAATTATATATAATTTTCTAATATTGTGTTGTATTTCATGTCTAAATAAAAATTTCAATTGAAATTATTAGTAAAAATGAATTAACAATTATTATTTATTCTGAATTTATTAAATTTTTGTAAATTAATTTGACATTATTTATAAATTTCAATTATAAAAAAAAATATTAATTGTATTTTTTGTTGTTGAAAAAATGTTTAAATATTTGAAAACTTCTTTGACATCAGTGTTTAAATTTGTGAAAATTAAGACTCAAATCAAACAAAACATTTTCCATCGAGACGTTGATCCTGTGGCTACCGTCACTAAAATAGACCGCTTTCTTAAACGTTATCTAATAATTGCATCCAATATTGATGACTATATGTCGTCAATTAAACTAAACAATCGGAGTATTATTTCCTTATATATGATTAGGACAGTCGTATTTATAATGATAATACGTTACGGATTATCATCGATTGCACCTAAAGGATCCTGGTTGAGGGCACTAACATGTGACGCCAGTTATCTGTTGGGGAACGGTAGCCAAATATCAATGTTACTAACTATGATTTCACTATTGGTTTTATTGATTGGATGGCGTCTCCAATATCAGGAAATGCATATGAATTTAACATTAATAGACTTTCTCTATAATGTCAAACATCAGAGATTACCACTCAAACTAAACACTTGTCATTCACAACGTTTTATACTATACACTGATCTATTGGTTCATTATTTTCTTCATCAAGCATTTTATCTATTAGTTTTCATGACCAACATTATGCTGGTCGGCACTACGTGTTGGGAATATTTTAATCCCGACTCAAGATTCCCGTTTGCAGGAGTAATACTATGGAGTCTATTCACTGTACTGTTTACCGTACAGTTGTTTGCAATGATTACCATAGCGTTTGTCCTATGGTTTATGACATCAGCGTATTTGAAGTATAAGTTTCAAGAGATTAACACAAGACTCAAGATTTGTTTGCAAATTGAGACAAATAATCGTATGATTAGACAGTGTATGGTTGAGCATATGGTGCTTACAAAGCTAACTGTTCAAATAGACGAGTCGATTAAATTTCCGATGTTTATTATCTATTATTTTGGTACACCTTCACTACAGCTACTGTTTTATCTGATATGCGATAAAAATACATCACTGGCCGCACGTTATATGGCATCCGTCATATTTTTTGTCTGTTTTAACATAGTATTCATATTGAATATGATGTCCACATGGGTTAGTACATATGCCCATCGGGTTCAACCAGTTTTGTATGAATTGCTTAACAAACGGTGTCTAACTGTACGCATAAGGTATAAGATAATGGGATTTATTGAAAGACTATCCGGACGTCCCATTGGTTTCTATTGTTATAATTTGTTTGTTATGAATAACTATGAATACTATCTCTATGTTTCGACAGCTATTATTAATTACTTATTATTGATTGGTTTATTTAAAACATTACAATTAATTAATTAATTTTATTTATTTCATTAATTTCATTAATTTTATATAATAATTTGAGTGTACATAATCAGAGTTAAGAAATTTATATTATATATAATCACAAAATATTTAATTATTTTTAATAATTTACAAATTAATAAATACAATGCTGTAATTTACTTAATTATCCAACAATTGTATTAACATAACAGTAAATGTAATAACTGAACCTAAAAATGCAAATAAAAAATTCATATCAATTATAAATAGATTAAGAGCCATGTATTTTGTATTGTGATAATTGTAAACCATATTCATTGTAATCATTGATTTAGTGATTATATCTTTGACACTAAGAGATGACAGTTTTATGGACAATACAGTCATTAAATCATTAGCTGTCGGTCTATGTGTTTGAAAATAATTAACAATTAGTACATAAATAGTGAAAATTAAACAAATGATTGAATATTCAATTAATCCATAAGTATGTGAACTCATATCATAACTACTATCGACAAGAGATACATAAGTCAATCGCAAACACGTTGACGAAAATATTTCAACAATTATTAAAAATAAAATAATACCAAAAACATTGTTAACATTATCTTTAAGTTTTTGTATAACTAATATATTTTGTACACACTTTTCATAAGTTATTCTAATAGTATTATTGTTAATCAAATTGTTTTCAAATAGATATATTGTGTACTTTATTGAAATCAATAATAATAAAATAGCAATCATAAAACCAAACATCATAAAAGCATCTAGAACATTTAGTATAATTGAAAACACAGACCGGTTATAATTGATAATTATTTCAATAATAGGCATTAAGTCAATCGATACAATTATGATCCATAAAATTGATAATATTTTTGATAAAAATTTTAGCTTTATTTTTTGTGTTTCAACTAAATGTCCAAAAATATCGTTTAATGTTTGTCTTATTCGGGATAATTTAATTATAAATATTATATACAATAATAAATATATTGATTTTTTAATAATATATGACAGATAATATGTCATTTGTTGAAAACTGTTTAATTTTAATAATTGCTGAACTGTTAAATAAATTGCATAGATATTTTCAATTACAATTATTATTTTAATTAAACTTAATATTATATATTTGATAATAATATTAGACTTTTTAATTTCAAATAAATTAATACCACAAATAAAATAAATGTTTACAATATAATTGAAAACTTGTTTTTCACTTAAAATAGACATTATTTTATTATTTCAATTATAGTAATATAGATTTATTTATTATTATCTTTATTAATTTATTAATTATTTAAAATTTTATAAATTCTAAAAATTATTTTTACTTCTTTACTTTTATTCGTTTATCATAATTATCATAATTTTTAATAATATTAAATTAACATTTAATATTTTTGTATTTATTACTTTTTTTTAATTAAATATAAAAGGTTTCTAACGTTATGTAAAAACTATTTATTCATTTTATAGTAGTTGTTAACAACAACAACAAAAAAATGAAAATTGTTTTAATAACAAGAAAAACTAAAATAAATTTATGATAAAATCAAACTGTATAAAATTGATTGAATAAAAAATAAATACTAAATATGACTAGTGTTGGCAAAAAAAAAGAAATTTACAAAATAATAGGGAAATTTCTAGAAAGTTTCTAAAAGAAATTTCTGTCAATGGGATCACCATATTAAGAAATAGGTTTTACTATATATAAAAAATATTTTATTGTATTAAAAGTTGACGAAATCATTACTTTTTGTAAGATTTTTTTGTCACATGTTTTTTACATTGTTTTGTTGCTAACAATAAAATGGATTTTATTAAGTATTTACGGATCAATTGGTTCTGTTAGTTATTGAAGACAAAGATATAATTAATGCCATTTTTATCAATCATTTGTGAAAATTCGTTTCAAAAAGCTTTCGATAGTTCATCATCCGGACCGATGGTGTGGCTCTCCAGAGGACGTCAGAGATGTTCAGCAAAATTTATTGAAATAAATTTGTAACTTTATAAACCATTTACCCGTTGATCGACCGACACTATGAATAATGACAACCATATTATGTCATATTATTTATTTTAGTTAAATCAAATGTCATTTGGACTTAATAATGTCTTCTGAGCTATGGCTAGATTTTATGAATAGACGCAATCAGCGGCAGCTAAGTAATGTACAACCATTATCATCATCACCACCGCCACAAACACCACCACCCGCTCTCAAAACTCAAGAGATAAATACAAGGAAGTCCACAGAATATTACTATTTATTCAAATTAATTTGCTTTTCATTCGGCATTTAAATGACAAAATCATTAATTGATTGGTTACTAATGACTGTTTAATAATAATTATTTGTATTTAATTTTTTAATTATTTATATTTAACATCGACCACCTGTTATCGAGGATTTGGATATAATTATCTAATATATCTTTATATGAGTTTTAAATTTACTTATATTTTTGTACATATGTTTAATTACACAATAATTGTTTGTAAATATTTGTATGGAAATTTAATCCTAAGAAACTTTTTCAGGGAAATTTATTAGAAACTTTCTATTTTCTCATCTCTAAATATGACACATAATCAATGATAAACTAATTTTCACTATAAATCATATTATATTTTATAAATATAAACAATAAAACTAATAACTATATATTAACTAAAGTATATTTAAGACTTTAATACATTATTCTCAAAATTTGAATAAAAATATATTTTTAAACAATTTATTTTTATTAAACGATAATCAAAGACAATATTTAAGATATTTATAATTAAAAGTTGTATAATATATTGAATAAATAGTTTTGTTAAAATAATTATTAGTAAAAATTTAAGTTTTTACAGATAAATTATATACTTTAGAATAATATATATTATTTTTATTATAATTATTTGTTGTAGTAGTACAACAAATAAATAGATTCCCTGGAAATTCTACAATTCCCAGGGCATCAGGGGAAATAGGGAACTTTTTGAATATAAAACTACGGAGGAAATTTACCCGAACTCTATATATCATATATATATATATACTAAAGGGTTTTATTTGAGGGGTTATAACAGATAAGCGGTAAAATAAACAAAAACAGATATGCTTAAAAATATGCATACATATAAAATTACATTAATACACATTTATATATTAATAATGAACAAAAACTTATGGAAAATTTATAATGAAATATCATAATGAATATTTGCTATGTATTTAAATTTTTTACAAAACAATATTTTAAATGTGTTATTTAAATGGTCAAAAATACTTGCAATTATGTTTAGATTTAAAAGCAATAACTACAAATTTTAAACAGTTATACTACTAAATATAATTTAGTTCAATAATATTAATTAATTAAAGATTTATTTAGATATTTGGTATTTATAAATCATTGTTAATTTTTTACTCAATACAAAAAAACAAACAAAAAATAATTGTATTAAATAAAATAAAAATATTAAAATCAATAAAAATTTAATCAAAGTTCTAAATCGTTATCATCTTTTGTTGTCCTCATTTGTTTGATGAGCTGATCCGCTTCCATAGGTTGTTGACCACTAGTCTTAGTGTTTGTCTTTTTGGACGACAATTCTTCAGTCTTTGGCAATTGTTTTGTATTCTTTGATGAAATGACAACTACTTCCTTTCGGTCGCTTTTTGTATGACTTTTCTTATGTTTTATAACATACAGTATGACAACTATGACAATCACCACACATACCAAAACAATCACTGCTATAATGATAATCATTGTATACGGAAAACCTTTTTTGTAGGGCTTATCTGTTAGAGCACCGGTCGTTGAATTTGGCGCTATATTATCATTGATACTAACATTGCTAACATCGGCACCCAATGACTCAATTGTCGGCAAAATTGACGACACGTTGACAACTGTTTTTGTATTTGTAGTGATGTTTGTGGTATCATTTGTATCGATAGTAGAGATGGTTTCAATGGTAGTGGTAGAGGCCGGTCGTGGCTTTCGCGGACATTTGAAATATTGGCGCATTTCATCACTAGTTTTTAGTTCACACTTTGAAAATAAAACAAATCAAATAAAAATAATATCAGTTTTTTGACATTTAAGAAAAATAATGATTTAAATACTTCTATCATATCTCTAGCATTTGGACCGATGCAGTAGTTTTTATTACCAAATATTATCAAATGTCGGTCATTGGTTAGCATCGCTTTAATATCGATATAGTTGTCAAACGTAGATCCAGTCGGCTGTTTGCTGTCACTGATAAACAGCATAAGTTTGCCGGATCTGACCAACTGATTGGGTCCGGATATGCGGTCCGGAGAAAAGATATTTGTAAACATATATTTGCTATATGTTTGCGACTCGTATATGATATAAACGGGTGCTTTGTTTCGGTCCTTATTTGATCGGTAATGATCACTGGCGGCCAATACTTTGTCACCGATGGGAAAGTAGTTCCAGTCGTCTGTCGTACCATTAAATCGTTGAATTTTGTTATTATAAAGAAACCATTTGTCATGCTTTAAGTAAAAGAAAATATAATTTTTTAAAAATATATTTTTCTAATTAATATAATAGAAATTTTGGGGACAAAAAAAATATTAAAAACCAATACTAACAACAATGAATACGGTAGACAAACCATATTTTGCTTCACCAATAGTAAAGGCTGCGTTCACTGGTGTGGGCAGTCCTGGCCATCGATCGCTAATCAAATTACCCGCTTCTGGCAGAAGACCTGTTTGGCTATCCATTTGCCAAAAGGAGTCGCCTTTTAATATATAACTGATGCCGTCGTCGGCATAAATGGCTGCATCGATAGCTAAATCAATGCAAAGTTGTTCCTCAGGATCTACTAACGGATCCAATGTTATCGTAAATCCTATCATTAATAATACAATTATTGTCACTGAAATAACCATTATCTCTGATAAAATGTTTTCAAATTTATGGTACAATTGAAACTTATTTTAAACTATTTTTAATTCAATAAATTCAAATTCGGTTACATTATTGCACGTGAATGTTATTATTTGGTTAAATAAAAATTGTTATTTAAAAATATTATTTATAACAAAATTTTATTAAAACATTAGTACAAGAAATATACGATTGATAATTAAATTATTAAATTATACTAGTTGATTATTATTTAGAAATACTACTGTAATTGTTTTTACAATAATAATTTTATTATTAAGTTTAATACATTGATTAAGTTTAATTAAATAGTATAACTAGTATAAACAAAGTTTTCAATTAAATAAAGTATTAAAATTGAATATAGACTTTATTAAATAAATAAATAATTAGTTAATTAAATTTTAGTATTAACAAATTGAATCAGTATTACAGTAAATGTAACTAAAAAGCCTAAAAACTTAAACAAAAATTTGAGTTCAATTGTAAAAACATTATACGCTTTGTATTTACTATTTATATAATTGTTTGTTAGGGTTTGAATCATTAGATTTTTGGCTAACATTTGCTCCGATGGTGTCGGCAATGAACTGTCATTTTTATCGACCATTAATAACAACAGTTGACTGATTGATGGTCTATGTGTTTGATAATAGTTTATTGCCAACAAATACATGATATTTACGATAGAAATCAATAGATATTCAAGCAATCCGTGATATATTCGGGATAATATTTCACCATTTAGTCGATTGATTGTTATATAAGTCAATCGGAAACATGAGGAGGAAAATAGCTCACAAAACGATAAAAACGGGAAAATACCTAACGTTTTGTTAACCCATTCCTTATATTGTTGTATATTCAGTAGTTTTTTGGACAACTCATGATAGTTGATCTCATCTTCTATTATATAATCGGATAATTGTTTTTCCAATAAATATATGCCGTAACAGATAATTATGAGTAGTATTGGTATAAGTGTTATCCAACCAAATATTGTCATTAACCACAATATTTCCACCAAAAGTCTTACTCGATTACGAATAGTAAATAAGTATTGATATGTAAACGATGTGACAATAATTGAGTTAATTATTAGCCAAATAATTGTCAACATTTTTGTACAAAATCTCATATAATTACGATCAGTATCAGTGAGACAATCGATTAACTGTGTGATTGTTTTATTAATATTTTTGACTTTGAATGCAAAACATATATAACTGGCAGTTGATATAAATAATTTAATAAAAATTGAATAACGAAATAAATGTTTATTTAGATCTGGTTTTAAAATAAGTGGTTTTAAAGTCATATAACTTAGAAATATAATAATTGAAAGATTTGTTAATTTTGTTACACAAAGTATAAATGATTTCAATATTTTATTGTATTTTCGTTTAAAGCATATATCAAATCCCATTAGAAAAAATATATATGAAATAGGAAATAGTATTGTTTTAATAGATAACATTTTTTACTTGTTTGATAATACTTTAATGATAGATAAATATTAATATTAAAAAACGAAATTTTGAAAATAAAGCAACTATTTTTCTAATAATAACTTTATTTAAACAATAGTCTATACAATATTATAAAATATTAATAATGTTCATAATGTACTCCAAAAAAATCATTAATCTATTTCTGATGAAAATAATATATATATAATATTTTTATTAATTATTATGTTTTTTTTGTAACAAATATTGACAATATATACAAATTTTACTTATGGATTAAAATGACAAAATGATTTTAATAATGAAAAAATATCATATGACATGAAAAATAATTAATAAAAAATAAATAATAAACAAAACTAAATACTAACAAAAGTTTATCACTTAAAATAATTAATTATTTTTACTATATTAATAAAATAAAGTACATGTACATACATATAACAAACAAAAATATTTTAAATAATATTGTAATTATATATTTAAAACTAATAATAAATATTTATTTATATTTAATTTATAATTATTTCAATAATTGCATTAACATTACTGTAAACGGGACGACAAAACCTAAAAATTTCAATAAAAACTTGAATTCAATTATAAATACATCAAAAGCCATGTATTTGTTTTCTGAATAGATTTGAATCATATTTTGTGTAATCAATGTTTGTACTGATCTTCGTATTGATTGATCCGATTGGACATCAATTATACCATAAGATAGCATCAGTTGATTGACTGTCGGCCTATTGTTTTCATAGTAATTGACTGTTAATATATAACAGACATTAATAATACAAATATACACGTATTCAATGCACCCGTGAGTGAAACCGCCGGCATATAAGAAGTTTTTATTAATTATACAAAATGTTAATCTCAAACAAGTCGAGCAAAACATTTCAGAAAACCATAGAAATGGAAATATACCAAAAATTTTATTGTAATTTTCTCGATATTCTTGAATATTAAGTAATTGATAATACAAATACAAATTATTTTCATAATATTGTAAATCATTGTTGTTGTTGTTGATAGCAATCAATTTTTTCTCCATTAGATATATTGAATATGTTATTAACAATAGTAATAATGGCATCGAAATCATCCAATTAAACATAACAAACCACCATGCTAATTCACCAATTATTATTATTAAGCTTGAAATATTAGCAAACTTAAATATTAATATCCATGATATCAATATTGATAGCATAATTAAAAACCAAATTATTAGATAATTTTGTGATTTGTTTTTTAAACATTTAACGTCATTATGGTTCAAACAATTTATAATATTTATAATAAAATCATTGATTTTCAATTTATTATATTCAAAATATAGATAACTTAATACACAAATTAAATATTTTATCATTACTGATATGCGAAATAAAATATTATCTTGCTTAATAAATAAATAATAAATAAAAATATAAAGGAAATATAAATATGATGCAAATATTATTAATTTGAAATTATACTTAATTATTGATTTTAATAAACTTGTTTTGACTTCAAACACATCGAATCCCATAAAAATAAATATACGGGTAAATGGATGTATAATTGAGTTTTTAATTAAAGGACTCATTATTTAAAAAATTTAATTAATTAATAATAATTATTATTATATTAATTAATAATACGTGTATTACAGTATAAAAATATAATATTTCTTTCAAAGATATAATTTTTTATTTAAAACAAAAAAAGAGATCAAAATGAAATGTACAGTAAATTTATATTAATAAAAATTGATTATTTTGAAACAAACTTTTTTTTATTGATTAATAACTATAATATAAGTTTAATAATAAATATTTTAATTATTTTTAGTGCTTTGCAAGTTTTTGTTTGTTTAATTATTATCAAAATAATAACTGTTGACAATTTACAATAAAATATTATATGAATTATATAATAATAATATGATATAATAAATGATATAAAAAGTTTATTTTATAATCAATTTTATTGTTGCTATGTATTCAGACAAACACATATCAATACATAGATACATAATAATTACTATATATAATTAAATAATTTAATTTAATAACTAAAACTTACATTATATAAAATTTATATTATAAATTATAATTACATAACAGTTAACTGTAAATATAAATATTGCTTCAATAATGAAAATATTAAATGCTTTGTATTTTATTTTTAATTTAAGTATTGATCAATTATTATACATAAAAATATTCTTTAACTTTTTTTAGATATTTACTTAAAATGTGTAAACATTGAATTAGTAAATTAAATATTAATATTAAATTATTTTAATAATTGCATTAACATAACAGTAAATGAAATGACAAAACCTAAAAATTTAAATAAAAATTTTATATCAATAATAAATACATTAAAAGCCATATATTTATTGTTTGAATAGATTTGAATCATATTTTGTGTAATTAATGTTTGGACTGATCTTTGTATTGATTGATCCGATTGGACATCAGTTATACCGTAAGACAGCATCAGTTGATTGGTTGTCGGCCTATTGTTTTGAAAATAATTGACTGTTAATATATAGCATACATTAACAATACAAATGCAGGCGTATTCAATGAACCCGTGGGTGAAACCGCCGGTAAATATAATATTTTCGTTATTTAAAAAATATGTTAATCGCAAACACGTCGAAAAAAACATTTCGCAAAACCATAGAAATGGAAATATACCAAAAATTTCATTGAAATTTTCTCGACGTTGTTGAATATAGAGTAACTGTAGATACAATTGATAATCATTGCTTGAATTATTATTACATTGTATATCATTGATGGCATTAGCAATCAGTTTTGTTTCCAATAAATATATTGAATATGTTATTAACAATTGTAATAATGGTATCGATAATATCCAGTTAAACATAACTGACCACCATCCTAGTTCACCAATTATTTTCAATAATGTTAGATTATTGGTAAATATATAGATCAATAACCATGATAATAAAATTGTAATCATAAATGTTAACCAAATTATTAGTAAAATTTTTGATTTGCATTTCAAACATTTAATATCTGTATCGTTCATACAGTTAACAATATTTTGATGAAATCTTTAATTTTCAATTTGTTTTGTTCAAAATATAGATAACTAGTTAAACAAATTGAATATTTAATTAATACTGATATGCGAAATAAAATTTGATCATTTTTTATAAATAAATAAATAAGAAAAATATATAAGAAAAATATATAGGATGCAAATGCTATTAATTTAAACATATATTTAATTAATGATTTAAATGCATTTGTTTTGACTTCAAACACATCAAATCCCGTAAATAAAAATATTCGGGTAAATGGATGTATAATTGATTTTGTAATTAATGAACTCATTATTTAAACAAACAAAAAAACTAATTATTATAAAACAATTATTATAAGATAATATTTTCAGATAAAAGTTAAATTTATTATTATTCTGGTTATTTAGACAAACTCATACATTCATATAAAACTAGTAATATGTTCAGTAAATTTATTTTTTAATGTCAAAATAAAAATTAAACAAAAATATGTTGTGTATGTGGAGGTGTATGTCGTATAGAAAAGTAATTATTTAAAAGC